TGTTTACCTTTACAGCGTGATCCGGCAGACAACGGATAGTCATTCTCAATCGTTACACTTACACATCAGTTATTATATAGCGTTAGAACGGGTTACGATCTGCATGGTATGGCACTAAAAACTATTGCAATTGTTTGGAAGGATCGGTAGATTGTTGCTTAAGTAGAGCAAATGAAGACATTCTCGAGAAAAGTCGAGGGAAAAGTATACCGATTACCGATCCTTATATTACTTATGTCCTTACTTCACTCGAGAATTGTTGCAATGCTCATCACCAAGACTAACAATTATTTTGGTGAACATTGTAATAAAGAAAGAGTGATTTTTAGATAATTAATTACGAGATGAATTACACCTATGCACGAACACAAAAATTCGCTATTTGTACCAGGCACATCTTTTGGTCATCATACCCCCAGACATCTAAGTCTACCTATCATAAATAAGTAACATTTGTCCAATTCCCGAAATTATTAATATGAATAAATTTAGACGTTTAATAATGAGAAAGCAAACTTGTTTCGGTGCATCTTGTAACGTAAAAATAGTCCTTCGTATGGCCATTGCACTGAATATATCTCCGTTTTAAAAATAATTTCTTTGTTTTGAACTGCATGTAGTGTTATTTTGTTGCCGACGATTTCTTTTATGTTTTATGCATGGGGTTGTTTATAAAACCTACCTGGCTCACCTTCGTCTCGAACTACCTACTACTACCTTTCCTTACCTTCCATTTGTTCTAGTCTAACCCTCTGTCGTGTTTTTTTATAGTGCAACGTCTGCCTAAACGCCTCCGGGCAAGTTGTTGATCCCCCACTTGGCCAACCGTTTGTGTAGTACACTTGCTCGCTTTGAAAAGTTATTGAACTGTAGCCTATCAGCTGTTGTTTTGTTGTCTAAACTCCAACGCCATGCAGTTTGTGTGGATAATAAAAATTTAAATTATAAAATTCCATCTAGATGCCTTATTTATTTTTGGTTAAAGCCACCCGACATTAATTTTTTTATGCTGAAGTCATATAAATCGATGAGTAGCAGAAAATTTAAAAGAAATCGATTTAGTCTAGCTTTAGAGAGTTCTACTTTACTATTACGGGTTGAGTTAGTTCCACACTCGGTTGCACCCCACCCCTCCAGATGTTTTTTTTTATTACAAACAAAAACTAAATACCTGTGTGTTTAAATAGGTACCGTACCTAATTTCGGATTCCAACTTGTTCAGGTAGCACCCAAATTGTAAATCAAAGTTTCTGGTAACAGAGTGAAATAAATAGACTTGAAGGTAATAACTTACTATATAAATAAATAATATTCAATGGTGGGAAGTGCTCATTTAACGAACATTGTCGAATCAATTATGTTCAAGTATTTAAGGCTTATTTAAAATTTTATTAAAAATAATAAATAAATAAGTAGCCTATTGATTACATATCCGTGAGTAATCACATCACAAACTTGGTAGAACATGTTGAATTATGCCTAGACAGCTGTTTGGAGTTTGAGTGCAAAATCAATAATAATTACTGCAGCTAGCATGCAAACTCTTACGTGGTCTGAATAGTAGTACCGTTTCAAAGAAGTAAATATTAACTTACACGCAATCCCTTTCTAAAACGTGCCTATGGGTACTGGGTGTGATATTTTTGGTTAGAAAACTTCAAACTTGTGTTTTCGTAAATAGTTGCCTACCTACTTACCTAATATACCAAAAGGGGGCCAAAACCTCAATTTATTTATATCATTTAATATTACTTACACCTACTTCATCATTATAATCATTTTCAATTTACCCACTTCTTTTTCAAAACGACCCCCTGATGGCGTGGCTGAATGGTACAAACTACACAGCTCTTGCCACATTGTTTCGTGAAAATTAAGAGAGTTATACCTTACACTTTACAGCGTAGAGATCAATTATCCAATCAATGCACTTGCACATGAGTGGAAAAGGGAGCGGTTTTGAACAATTCAAATAGTCGCATGTGCTGTGTGCTACTAGTATGTGATAATATAACAAGTTAAAAAGTAATCGTAAACGATTTACATAAAGCGCATTTCCACTTGCATTCATTTCCCATTTATAAGATGCAACTTCTGTTAAAATCGTAAAAATCCGGGCACAAATATGAAAGATAGCTTTGCACATGGGCAATCCATTTTTGACGTGTTACTTCAATTTCAGTTTATGAGAAGAATTTCATTTCAATGCTTTTCTAAATAAGAAAGTTGGAACTGCGCATGCGCAAACCTAAATTTTAAAACTAATGTTAGATTTTCCTTTGTTCCAAGCGCCTAAGTATCAAATTTCACTTAAATGGTGCCATAGATAAAAAAAGTTGGCACTGCGCATGCGCAAAAGAAAATTTTGAGACTGGCGCTCGATGATCCTTTATTCCAAGTGCCTATGTATCAAATTTCATTTAAATTCTTCCATAAATAAAATAGTTGGCATTGCGCATGCGCAAAACCAAATTTTGAAATTGGCGTTTGATTTTCCTTTATCCCAAGTGCCTATGTATCAAATTTCGTTTAAATTCTTCCATAAATAAAAAAGTTGGCACTGCGCATGCGCAAAACCAAATTTTGAAATTGGCGTTTGATTTTCCTTTATCCCAAGTGCCTATGTATCAAATTTCGTTTAAATTCTTCCATAAATAAAAAAGTTGGCACTGCGCATGCGCAAAACCAAATTTTGAAATTGGCGTTTGATTTTCCTTTATCCCAAGTGCCTATGTATCAAATTTCGTTTAAATTCTTCCATAAATAAAAAAGTTGGCACTGCGCATGCGCAAAACCAAATTTTGAAATTGGCGTTTGATTTTCCTTTATCCCAAGTGCCTATGTATCAAATTTCGTTTAAATTCTTCCGCAAATAAAAAAGTTGGCACTGCGCATGCGCAAAACCAAATTTTGAAATTGGCGTTTGATTTTCCTTTATCCCAAGTGCCTATGTATCAAATTTCATTCAAATACTTTTATAAGTAAAAAAGTTTGCAAATCGGTTNCCTATGTATCAAATTTCGTTTAAATTCTTCCATTAATAAAAAAAGTTGGCACTGCGCATGCGCAAAACCAAATTTTGAAATTGGCGTTTGATTTTCCCTTATTCGAAGGGCCTATGTATCAAATTTCGTTTAAATTCTTCCATAAATAAAAAAGTTGGCACTGCGCATGCGCAAAACCAAATTTTGAAATTGGCGTTTGATTTTCCTTTATTCCAAGTGCCTATGTATCAAAATTCATTCAAATACTTTTATAAGTAAAAAAGTTTGCAATTCGGTTTATAAATGGTCGAGATGCGAAAAGGGCACTGTGAATTTTGAATCGATTCGATCAACTTTTGGCATTGCGTATAATATGGTAAAGCTATGCCCATATTGAATTTCATGCAATTCAGTTCATAACTAACGGAGATGTAAAGCGAGATCGAACAAAACAAAGTTATGTTCACCGGACAGATAGATGGACAGACAGAAAAAGGAACAGACGGAGAGACCAACCGGCAGGCGACAGATAGCAATGCAAAATTATAAACGATCTCTAGGATCGTTAATAAACGGCAAAAGTGTAAATTTATGGAACATGTAAAAAACGGTTTTTTGTTTTTTTTACAATAACTTTTTTTGTAAGCGGTACAGAAAAAATTCCTTCCTTGGTACAAGACTCGAAACCATAACGAACCAAATAGCGAAAAAAGTAGAACAATAGCTCTTAAGATAAAGAACTAGTAGCGTCGCAAAACGAGCGGACGGACGGACGGACAAAGTGCCCACAATAGCGCATTTTTTTTTATTTTGTGGAAATGCGCTGCGCTAAAAATAAATGATTAGGCAGCTTACTCTCCGATGAGGTGTGCTTTAGTTTTGATGATACAATCTTAATTCATTTTAGCTGCTTAAAGTGACATTTTAACATCCGCTATAAAATAAAATAATACTTGTGAGCTGTGAGTGCTCCTTTTTGCGTAAACTGATGATCCAGCTAATAATAATCAATTAAAATTTACTTAATAATTGATTAATCAAACAATCGATTAATCAAATAACCGATTAATCAAATAATCGATTAATCGATTAATTTAATAGAATAATCAAACCCGATTATCGATTATCGTTTGATTATAATCGATTAATCGATTTTTTTTGCCCAACGCTAGTCTCAAGTCCTCAATCTTAGAGTTAATAAAAATATCTCAACAGGACGACTCTTTTTTGGTCTTGTTTCAATTATTGGTAGTCGTATAGTGGTCTTATATTTTGTTTGTACTTTATAACAAGTTTAAAAAGTAATTTAAAACGATTTACAAAAAGCGCATTTCCACTTGCATTCTCTTCCCATTTGTAAGATGCAACTTCTGTTAAAATCGTAAAAATCCGGCCACAAATATGAAAGGTAGCGTTGCATATGTGCAATTCATTTTTGACGTGCTACTTAAATTTCAGTTTATAAGAAGAATTTCATTACAATGCTTTCATAAATAAGAAAGTTGTCATTGCGCATGCGCAAACCTAAATATTGAAACTGGCGTTAGATTTTCCTTTATTCCAAGTGCCTATGTATCATATTTCTTCTGCTTTTTTAGCAATAAACGCAGAAAAAATTCCTTCCTTGGTGCAAGCCTCGACACCATAACGAACCAAATAGCGAAAAAAGTAGAACAATAGCTCTTAAGATAAAGAACTAGTAGCGTCTCAACGAACGAGCGAACGGAAGGACGGACGGACGGACAAAGTGGCCACAATAGCGCATTTTTTTATTTTTGTGGAAATGCGCTAAAAACTATTCACAGTGGCTTCGTCTCCATTTTTCAACGCGTGTGACCTTTAGGCAGTTGTCGTTGACAATTAATCCTGGCGTAAAAGAGATAATTGCAAAGTAACCAAAATATATTTTCTGTATTTACTGAAAGTCTCGAGTATTTCTAAATCGAAGCAAATATATATAAATACTTTTATGTTTCTTTGTAACCGTCAAATGAAATTTTGTTATTTTTCTTTCAGATAAACCACCTGTCCCATCGTTAACGGAATTAGCAGCAAAATGTGTAGCTTCTCATATCCCCTTCGAATTAGTGGAACGCGTATATCCTCCCGTTCCAGAACAACTACAGCTAAGAATTGCCTTTTGGAGCTTTCCTGATAACGAGGAGGACATTCGGTTGTATTCGTGTTTGGCTAATGGATCGGCGGATGAGTTCGGGCGAGGTGAAAGTTTATATCGGAATCATAGCGTGAAAGATCCTCTACAAATTGGTAAGTCATTTTTTTGTATGTATTTTACAACGCAGCTTATCATACGCTCAGAAAGTCCCTACTAGACGCTCGGCCTTTACCGGTGGGCTTTTTCATTCACTGCTCTGCTCTGTGTGCATCGAGCAAAATGTTCAATCTCTTCCAGAGAGCGTCATGCGGTACCTTCCAGAAGCGAAATATTCACGCTATTACTTTTTACTGCTTCATGGACTTTCAAAAAGTTGGGTTTGCTAATAATACCCAGACCAGGGGTCGGCAACATGCGGCCCTACAACGTCATTTATGCGACTGGCTTAATAATAATACATGAATCCGACCATGGTGACATCCTTTATTATTCTGAAGTCAAATGGTCAAGTTGAGGTACTCCAAAGATTCTTCGATCTGAGAAAGGAAATACGCATTTATGATTACTAAAGGTATCCCAGTTCCTGGGCAATCAAACGTTCAGTGGATAGTGGATCGCGGATTTGTTAACTGACAAAAATACTGAACTAATTTTCTCAATGTCTGTTTACAAGGAAAAAACAAATTAGTATCAGCTATGTATCCAGACGTAAAATCCTTCCAGATAAAGATAAATTTATATTTACAACATAATGACCATAAGAAACTTGGCCGTTTTTCATTAAAAACGATTTTGCAAAATTACGTTTCTTTCAGGATATCTCCGAAAGTAGTCGGGATTCTTTCAGTTTCAAACGCCATTTTGTCAAGCATCGAAATACGCCACTTTGCCAAATTTAAACTATCCACCTATCTCTCACAGTTTCCGAGATGCCCATGGTGCCATCGCAAAAATTCGGGACTCGAGCATTCCTATAAAAACATCATTCAATCACAGAAGTTGGTTCAGACCGCGAGGAGGTCCCTCAGTTCTGATTTTCGTTACATTGCTTTTAGGGTGTGCTTTACAAATACTACACAATAAGATTAGTTTTCCAAAATTTAATTTTAAGTTGGTTGTCGGCAGCACCTACTTGTGGATTTTCTTAAATTTTTGCGTTAGCGCTTCGTGCTAGAGATTTATTAAAACGTGTATAAATCGCTGTAGTTGTAAATTCTGTGGAGAGTATTGATTTATGTAAACAAGTAATATTTTGTTTCAGGTTTTCATTTATCCGCCAGCGTACACCAGATACCTCGTGGCACCCACAATGTAGCTGTGACCTTCGACCGGCGTCGAATTTCATCTTGTAATTGCACCTGCAATTCTACCGCTTATTGGTGCTCACATGTAGTCGCTGTTTGTCTCACTCGCATCCATTGGGTCAGTAACCTTTTACTACATGATTTTATTTTTAGTACTTACTCTATTTTTTATGTAAATTACGTATCGCTTTTTGTTTACGTTGTAAGCCTACTTTCTTTCGAGATTGATTATGCTTATTACCATTTCCAAAAAAAGTCTGTCTGCTTACCTACCTCATTAATCATTGACAACTTTTAACCATTCCAACTGACTGTATTAACGGGAAAATGCATTCTTAATTATAAAATAAAAGATTCATAATGCAGAAGATGCACTGATTTTCAAAAAGGTGTGCGGTCCCATTTACTACCTACTCCCCGTTTTCACTTTCTTTTTCACTTTCACCACGTTTTGGTTGTAGAGCGGCTTTATTTGTGTAGACACATTTATACCGATCATCCCCTGCATGACGTAAGTATGAGGCGCCGTTTGTACCATAATTATTTCTTACGAATATATAAAATAAAATAAAGATATCTAGAACTTTTATACCGGGTGGTGCCTAGAGCGACGCAGCATAGGGATTTCAATGGTAATTTCTTTATAGCCAATTACTAGCTCCCCTAATTATTTTAGAGCAAAAGTCTAAATACGTTTTTTTTTTAGAGAAAAAAATACTGCATCTGTTCATACGATTACTTATAATTTTCCGTTTTTTCAAAAAAATAAAAAATTACATTTTTATAAATCAGTAATGCTTTGGAATCTTTTAAGGCTGGGATTGCCTGAAAAGAGAAGTACCCATAGTAAAGGACAAAGTTTTTTTCGTTAGAATGTGCTGGTACCTAATAATGAATAGCGTAACTACAGCAGTTTTCTATACAAATATTTAAATAATTATACTCTCTTTAAGTGGGCCCCAAACAACACAGAGGGTGCTTTAAAAAAAATGCAATTTGATTTGCATAACCACACGACAAGAAGATACAAAACACAAACGCAAGGTCGTTCACGGCTCCTTACAGACTGCTAGGTTAACAAAATTATAATTAGCTCTCTACCGCACATAACTTGAGGAGAATAATGAACCGCTTGTAACGTAACTTATGAAGTAAAAATCGCGTAATTATTGGCATGGGGGACTTTCAAAATTAAGGTCGTAAAATTGGTTCACAAGTGGCGACAGGGGCTTTTTGTTTGGGAGGACCCTCAGTAAAACTCTTGATTCCTTCACTTAATGAAATTCAATGTCATTACGAAGTGTGTTTGTTATACTTATAAGTTATTATAACGATCCTAGTGCCTATTCAAATAACAGGTAACGAAGACTTTGTAACTAACGAAATGTTATTACAGTAAAGACGCGTTTTGACTTTTAGGACCAGTTCAACCATATTTTCGTTTTTTTTTAATATTTTTCTCTGAAACGGTAGGGACATTTCGAATTAGAACAAGCAAAAGCTTTTATGGAGAATGGATTTTTGTCAAAAAGTATAGTAAAAGTTTTTCTTCTTGTAAAGTCAATCCGGGGACATACGGTATACCGATTTTTTTTAAATTTTTTAGCCGTTTATACCTAAATATACATTTGTTCCCAATGTCTTACATTCGAGGGATGGTGTTTTGTAAATTAGTAATTGACAGGCTGATTCGAATTCGAGGGCCACCATGGGAATCTCGGGAAATGTAAGAGATAGGTAGGTGGTAAATTTGGCAAAGTTGTGTATTTTGATGCTTAACAAAAACAGTTTTGAAACTGAAATTCTGACTACTTTCGGAGATATCCGGAAAAAACGAGATTTTGAAAATCGTTTTTGTTTTTTACTGAAGTTAATAGTTATTTACAAAGATATTTAATAATAAATGACACATTATTATGGCCACTTTTTTCCCTCTACAAGATGCTACTTTTAAATTTGAAGTTTGACGTTTCGTCTCCGGTTAACTATCATCAACTTTGTTTCTTATGGAAGTAATTTTTACTTTTTGTGTGATTTGATAGAGAATTTTTTTCTGATTTCAAAAATGTACACATCAATGTTTTTAATGCTTGTAAAACATCTTTTTTGCCTTTGTCTTAAGTAACGTACGTAAGTAGTTTCTTGCGTTTTTACGAATTAACGTTATTTCTTATTAAAACTAGATGATGTTACCATCAAGGGTAACTTTGTCAAATGTAAACTACCTATCTCTTACAGTTCCCGAGATCCCATGGTGGCCTTTGAATTTGAATCACCCTGTATAGGTCAATTATTACACATTACACTAAACTGACTAAACTAATACTAATAATATGTAATAGGTACTATCATTGAATAAAGAGCTTTATTCAATGGTACTATTGAAGTTCAAAAAATTTAATTTGCAACAAGGTATGGATTATAAATTACGGTATTTTAATCTGCAAAGTGCAATAAGCAAAGATAAAGAATAAGGAAGACGGTCAAACAAATCGCATTACAAATAAACACCCACACAAGGTCGCCACTTGCCAGACATCAACAACAATATACAACAGCTCTTTGTTCTAAAAATAACGTAAAATTTTGATATTTGTTATAAAGGAATGTTACCTATCCCCATTTCTATTATTTATTTCATAAAACGATAGGTAGAGGAGGTTACCTTTTGCAATGAATAGGAAAGAGAAACCAAATAAATTTCGAAGCAAGTAGTTGACAAAATAAAAATATACCAGTGAACGATCTTTTTCTTGCTGTCAGCAAATTCTTTTACAAGCAGGCTCTGTTTAACCTTGAAAGAGAATCGCTAAATGATTTAACATAGGCAACTTACATAGCCTGCTAGTTTTTTTTTTGCTCGTAAATTTTTGTCTTTTGTTATCCCCATTACACAGTACTAGCTCAACGGTACTAGCCTAGTTAAAAAGTAAGAACAACTCCATCGCAAGATAAAAGCGCTTAGGTACCTATTTCATATCTTTATCGTATTTTTTACCGACTTCATGAAACTCTTGGTGGCACCCTCTGTGAGAAAGAAGCTACACTGTTGACCGCGATATTAGTCACAGCTGCGTAGTTTATTTCCGTTTCTCCAGTTTACATGCCCATTTTTCAGAACTTCATTCACCACTTTTTTTATGAAAACTTTTGAGCTTCACATAAATTGCCAAAATATAGATAAGTATTCACGCTACCGATCCCATACATTCGTATTGCTTAAAATGCTCCCTAATTTTTGCAATTAATTCCTAAACTATGAACTCTTTTGATGCATGTTTTCTAGATTTTTTAAACATATATTAATGGACAAAATATCAGTTTATATTGTATGGAAACTATGCTCTGTACATCTATCTACCTAATGCATATTTTTCCGATCATATACACCCCTTGCTTATGGAATGGTGAATGAAGTTCTGAGGCAATGCACGCCCCATTGAATTACATGTGCATCACCAGTTGCCTATATTCTCTAAATCCAAACCTTAAAACGAAGATTTTTGAATGGATAAAACGTCTTATTAAGTATAAAAAATAAGGGTAACTTCATAAAGCAGTCTACTCCAAAAATGTCCAGTTATCGAAATATTTGGGTATTTAATGTTCCGATTGTAGACATGCTATTAAGTACCTATGGTAATGGTAGTGTTACGTAGAAGAAGAAAAGTGACAAAGAGCGATTGTTTGCCGCCGGGGCAACGAGTCATGGCAAATTAACAAAAATTAAAACCGTATCTACTTAATAGCATTTTTGGAATAGCGACTACTCTACTCTTATTTTCAAGACGCATTTATATAAAGATAGGGGTTCCGACTAATATGATTCGGTTCGGACTGAAAACGTCAAAAATTAAAATATACCAAAGACGGCTACAGTTAGCTATAAGACATTGTACATAAAATGGATACAGAATAGAATTTTACGTAAAATCTAAATCCGAAATAATATATAGGGTGTTCCGTTTAAATTAAGTAGGTTGGCATCAACTCGACGTATGTATAATTGTTAATAAACCTGATGCAATTAAATGTTCGATACTTACATTATTTATTAGCAAGTGACTAAGCGCGATACAACATCAAATATTACACAGTACACTGTACTACCTGTCGTACAAACAAACCAGATGTGAATATAACTCGGAGTGATGACACCTTTTTACATGCAACAGTTAATTGATTTTAATGAATAAACGCTTCGCTGAATTATTTGATCCCCATTAAACAATTGAATAAGTGCATTTTGCTAGGGGGTAGAGGTAGATTGATCATTATTAAACAGTTGAAACGAATTGATGCATATATTCATATAATTGTGGTGAATAAATGATGCACTTCCTTGTGGGCCAGTAGGGTGCACCATTTTCCTAGGAATTCCCATTTGAAAAATGTCATCGAACCGAAATACTTCCCTTAATTATACAAATAGAGTTTGTCATTTAGTCAGAAATTTTTGGACCCATGTCCATAGAAGTTACCTTTTGTCAGGTGCTTTCCAATGGATAGAAGATTTCAGTTCATTTTTAGAACAATTTTTAAAATGGGAATTCTAGGGCGAGTAATTCACTTATCGACCAGGATTATCGTTTTAGAAATTTCACTGGGGATATTGTACAATAGAAAGTTTTGGTTTTCATGCTTCTCCGAACTGCCAACCACGTCGTTATAGGTGTTTCACACCCAACACCTTCAGGTTTGCCGTGACTTTTGCCTTGTAAGTCAAAACAAGGTCTTATCTAGGATTATTTGGGTCAAATTATTAAAGAAAGTAATCAAACGAAAAATAACAAAAATTTCACAAGATTATATGGTGTTTCGTACATAAGATTATATACTGAAATGTACGTACAGTACCGATGGTGCAAAATGAAATACATAAATATATTTCCTAACCTGTGATTTTAAGGAAAAATCCTAAAACTCATCGATTTGTATGTTTAAATGCAGGGTGCTTCGTAAGTATACCTTTTTTTAAAAAACCTAATCTATATTAGCATGATGGCGTCACAAACAACCCCGAAAGTTACAAGGTTCAATGAGGATAAACAATTTTTAAATTTATTTTAAATTTGCTTGTATTTAATGATTAAAAATAAAAGATTCATAAATAACTTTATTTATAATTAAGTAGGTACATACTGGAAGCACTATTGTGGCTGTTGCACTTGCAAAAGTAAAACAAAAACACTAATAAACCACAATAAATATATTAGATTTATTTATATATATATATTTGCATTACAATATATTATTGTGGTTTATTGGTGTTTTTGTATTACCTGCTTTTGCAAATACTAATTACATACTTCC